ATAAATTTTAAAAAAAAATTCTAAATTTAAATTAATAGAAATTATTTTTAAAAAAATTTAAATTTAAAATTGTGTAATATTTTATACTCTAAAAAATACCCTTTACAATAGAAAGTGGGCATAGAACATCTAGAAGACCATGAAATTCCATTCCTACATCACGCAATTCAAGGAAAATTAAGTTTTTTATTTATTCAAAATTATTTAGTCAAACATTGATCAAAGTATTTTTAATTTTTTTTTTTAAATTTAAAAATTTATTAGACACAAAATTCAATAATACTATTTAATCTTACAAATATGTGCTCAGATTTTTACTGATTTTAATTTATAATTGTTACATAATACAAAGTGCGAGAGAGGCTGTGCTCCGACCGCTAGCGGAGTTATGTCGGCAAAGACACTGGGCTTTGATGATGTGATGGATGTTGGATAATAAAAGTCCCACATCGGCTAATTTAAGGAATGAGCATGGATTTATGAACAAATAATACTTTCTGAGACATTTTGGGAAGCCCAAAGCAAAGTCATGAGAATTTATGCTCAAAGTAGACAATATCATATCATTGTAGAGAGTCGTGTTCATGGGTTTATAAACAAAGAATACTCTCATACTCTCTCCATTGATACAAAGCCATGTGAGCATGCATGTGTTCATGGGTTTATAAACAAATGAGGCTTTGCAAGCATGTGTTCATGGGTTTATAAACAAAGAATGCTCTCTAATTGATAGAGGCTTTTAGGGAAGCCCAAAGCAAAACCACATGAACATGTGTTCATGGGTTTATAAACAAACCCAAAAGCAAAGCAACATGTGTTCATAGGTTTATAAACAAATAATATTCTCTCTATTGGTAGAGATTTTTTGGAAAGGTTATACTCAAAGTTGGACAATATCATATTATAGTACTTCTGGTTGTCTAAGGCGGGAGGGAAGATGACACTTAAACTTATCTTTCTTTAATTAATTCCTTACCTTATATGCCAAGTAATCACATAAAACTATAGGTAGGGAATTGAAAATTTCAAAATTAGAATGGCGAAAATGAAATAAACACAGAGAATGAGGATGAGAATGGTAAGTAAACTTTTCTTGGAGATCACGGGTGGAAACAGAAATCCATAATGTCAGATTAAATTACTATAATTGGGAGCTTTTAATGCCAAGTCTAATTTGTTTCAGATTCTTTTCTCTTCTTTTTCACATTACCAAACAGACAAATAATTCTCACAATTTTCTCGCGTACTTTCCTGGGAGAGAATGAAGAAAAAAAAAAGCTCAAGAACATGAACTCATAACCAGAAATCGGTATATTTGTAAAGCATCAGTTTCAATAATGATCATTGTTAAAACAATCAGGATACGATCGGTCCGCATCTCTTAACGAATAAAATATCATCATCAAAACAAAAAGGGAAAATCAAATCGAAAACTACTTTTCGATTTTTCTTTTCATGATTTGAGAGAAATCTCAAGAACATTCCAGAACTTCTCTATTTCAATCGCAATCAGACAGAGTAAAGAATAAACTCATTACTCTCAACGCCGCCGCCGAGAACGGCGGCCTCGGCACCACAACGAATAACCTGATGAGACGACACATCGCAGCCGAGAACGGCGGCCGCGACCGCGGCCTCGGCCTCAGCCTCAGCATCACAACGAACGATCTGATTAGACGACACATCACCGCCGCGAGCGCCGTCCCCGAGGCGAAGCTCCTCCTGGTTGTCAGAATGATGGCCATCGTCGGAGTTAGCCGGCGGATGGTAGTACATCCGGCCAGTTTGAGGACAATGCGAATGAAATCTGGCAACAATCCTGACGCTAGCGTCAAGAACATCGATGAACCTCCCCATGGAGACGTCGAAGGAATCGAAATCTCTGCAACGATCACAATAGGAATCGGAACAGAGAAGCGGATCTCTCTGTGCGAGAGATAGAGGCGATGATTGAAAAATTAGAAGACGTCCCAGGGGAAGGCCATAAAAATGGAGGAGAGATAAAAGCTGTGGTTAGAGGTGGAAGAAGAACGGTGATGAATTCGTATTTATAGGCCCAGCTGGCTTCCTGCTCCGTTTCGCTTGCAATTGGGTTTTCATTTGTTTTGGAATGCGTGCGCTCGTGTTCTTTTCTTAGGTGATCAATAAATAAATATTTCTTTAATTATAATTTTTTTCTCTACTAAATATTAATTTAAATATTTAAAATCATATAAACCAAATTTATAATTTAATCATTTTTATAAAAAAAAAAATATTCAAATGTTTTAAGATATTAAAATAATTAAAATAATATTTTTAAATTTTATCCATTAAATTAAAAAATTTAAATTTTCGATAAGTTTATGATGAATAATATTTTTTATGTGATTTATAGAACCATTTAATTTTGATTTTTAAAAATTATCCAATTTTATTGGTTGAGATTTTGATTAAACTTTTAAGAAATATTGATTTAAATTATTAAGGTATTTGGTAATATTAATTCCTTTTTTAAATTAAAAAAATTGCAAGAATAATTAATGTATTTCAATACTCTCATAAATCCTAAATATTTAAATAACTTTGACTTTTGACCATTTTTCTTTTGACTTTTTTTAAATTTTTTATTTATAAAAAGGCATCTTGTCCGACCAAAATAGTTGAATACACAAGAAAAGAGGTTGAAAATGTGTTTTTTTTAATATATATTGGAAATGAGAATAAAATTATTTATATTTTTTCTTATTAAAAAAATATAAATTATTATATTTTCATAAATATACCCTACTTTCCAAAACAATTACAATATTATATTAATGGATAAAAGGAAAATAACTGTTTGCCAAAGCTGGCTATTTATTTTTTTTATTTATTTCCGGATAAACATTGAAGGAAATAATTTAAAATTAAAAAAAAATCAAAATCAATTTATACGGTAAACAATATTCGAATCGAATTAAGGATAAATAGGAAAAATATATAATTTTTAATATTTATATACGCGAGGAGTAAATTTATAATTAAAAAAAAGTAATAATACATTTATTTTCTATCGCCGACCAAATATATAATTGAAAAAAAATGGTTGAAAATAACATTTTTTTATTTAAGAGTATTTATTCTATTTTAAGAACCTATTAAATATATCTTATTTATTGGAAATAATGAAAATAAAGTAAGGTCAGAGGGGTTGTATGTAAAAGCCTTATTTATGTAAGTGGGCCACATACGAAGCGCGTGTATCGCAACTACGCGGGAAAAAATCGCCGCGTTATAGGCACCGAATAATTCGGAATAAAAATATATTCTAATTTATGGGGTTGGTAGTGGTGTTGTGCGGCGGCATAATAACGCAACGGTGAATTCCCAATTATACCCTCCCAGTTTGTACGGACATATTCGATAAAACAAAATTTTTAAAATAGGGTTATATATATATATATATATGAGAGATTTAAAAATTGAATTTTAATTTAAATAATTGTTAAAAAGTGTAGTGGTAATGGCAAAACGAAGTAATAATCTGAATATAAACTATTATTAATTGTTTTTTTTTTTTGACGTGTGCTTTTCTTTTATAAAAATTATATAATTATTGTTTATGATACCATATAATTTTTAATATATATTATATATATTTTAGTTAAAATAAATAAATGAGTGTGTATATCCATACTAAATTATTAAAAATTTTATTATCTTTTAAATATAATAATATGAATTAAGAAATTTGCAATATAATTTTTTTTATAGTTACAAACTATGGTCCATTGATATTTCATTAGTATACTTTCTGATATGAATTCAACTACGGATCGTTTGCATGTACTCGAAATATTGATTATAAGAAGCAAGGTTAAAAAGATTCAAGAGGCCTATATACTGCATCTTAAAAGAGATTGCATTAGCATATCAAAACAATAAAATAATAGAGTGATTGACATTGAAAAGTGACTATAAGACTTTACTCTTTGCAGTTGAACTGCCAATTAAGACAATTTATGTATGCCTTATTTTCTTCCATTTATATTTACTAGCTTTTATTGGTAGTTGTAGTTTGTAGTTGGTAGATGAACTTGATTGTGTTTGAGTTGTTTTTTGGTCTATTTAAAAGGTAGGTAATATTCATGTTTGAGGATCATGGTTGAATACAAACAAAACCTTCGTGTTTTCTTGATACCTTTTTGGTGTTATTCTTTTTCAAATCTTGCTATGAGTGTGGTGTTTAAACCGATTCATTGAATTAATTTTGATGAAGCTAATTCTAGAGTGAGTCATCTTGGAATCTAAGAGTGACCATCATAGATTCCAAGTTCGATCTAAGAGTCATTCATCTCTTAACCAGCTCTTGGATGGAATGAATTCGTTAAATTAGCTTTCTTTGTGAACGTTAGCAAGATTCTAGAATGACCTCTAGCTCCGTAAAATCCAATATTGTTGGTGCTTATCACTCTCTACTTTAAAACTTTCCTTTAAGAAAAATATTTAAATATAAAATATAATTTTCTTACCGGCTTATAATTATTCAAATTTAATTTAGTCTGATATTATTTATAGAATTATTACAATATTTGATCAATAAATAATCTAAATAAATTTCTTTTTATTTTTTATTTATTGAATAGTTTAAATTATATAATCTAATTATTTAATGAAGTTGTTAGATTAAATACACCTGAGTTCATATTATATCATATCATTGATCAACAATATAATTCTTTTGCTCGAATTAGATAAGAATTATCTTTAGATAATTTTTTTAATTTATTATTATTTTAAATAAAATTTTAATATATAATTTTTTATTTTTTAATATAAATTATTAATCTATATGTACTAAATAAACAAAATAGTTTCATTTATAATAAATAAACAAAATAGAAAATTAATATAAGTCTAAATTATAATTACAAAATTTGATAACTTTATTAAAAAAAAATAGTCATTAATTTTTTATTATTATTTCGATTAATAAATTAATAGGTGAAATAATTTATAATTTAATTAAAAAAAAAAAAAAAAATCTTTCCACACTCTCAAGTCTCACCCGCCAATGGAGCCTCACCTTCACCTTCACAACGCCCCAATCTTCGGCTGGTTATCATTTCCCCCAACCTCCACAGTCGCTTCAATGGCTTCCATAAACCCCACTCCTTTCTTCATCTCCTCTTCCCGCTCACGGAAACTTAACCGGACTTCCGACCAGTCCTCCGACGGCCTACAGAGAGATCCCAAGAAAGGCCTGTCTCGGATTCTGAGGAAAGATGCTGCTATTAGAGCTATTGAGAGAAAAGCCAATTCCAAAAAGTACAATAACCTTTGGCCGAGAGCTGTTCTCGAGGCTCTCGATGAGGCTATTCAGGAGAATCTTTGGGAAACCACTCTTAAGGTTTTTCGATCTTCTTCTTTAATCTTTTTTTTCTGTTTCTTCGTTTTCAATGCTTGGAACTGATTGGAACTGATTGGAACTGATTGGAATTGATTGCTATGTAGTTAAGAATACTCTTTCTGTCTTTGTTGGATTTATATGTGAAGAATGTTGAATCACGGCTCTTAACGAAAGCTCTAAATCGATGAGTCAGGATAAATTTAATCTTTAATTGCTTTCACACTCTTACGTATTCTTCATAGTGTATAAAATCATCAATCAACTCAAAAGTAAGTTCAGTGAATTACCGTAAACTTAATCTTTTATTACGAGCTGATAACTTGAATATGAATGAAGTACGAATTCTACATGAATTGCGGCTAAAATGAACTATTTCTACTCTGTCATTGAGGAGAGATCACTCATCCAACTCCAATTCCATGACTGAATGGTTACTTTTCTGTGAAATTCTAAGTGTTCTCAATATCCTTCCAGAAGTCTTTAGCACTGGAAGTTATGTAAATCTTAGGAAATGAAAGACTAAATGTCCCAAACTGTAGAGGCTATACCTTTCTTCAGAAAAGCTCTTGTTTTAGCAATCTCAACCCATTGGCCGAAACTTCTTCTTGTTGAGGATTATTGAAAAGAGTAGTCCCACATTGGCTAATTAAGAGAAAAATCATGGGTTTATAAGTAAGGAATACATCTTTATTGGTATGAAGTCTTTTGGGGAAACCAAAAGCAAAGTCATTAGAGCTTATGCTCAAAGTGGACAACATCATATTGTGGAGAGCCCGTGATTCCTAACACTTCTACCTGAAATTTCTCTCATGATGGAATCAGGCTATCACTATTTGAGATGATATGTCACCGTACGGTGGTGTTCTCCTGAAGAAAAAACCTCTATAGCTGTTTTGGTAAGAGAGAGGCATTTCTGTTTCTGATATCTCCCATTCCCAGCCTGCCCAAAGAGCCATGTTTGCTTTGTTTCTGCTTTCAGAACCCTTGCATCCCGTCTTGTTAGTGATCGCTTAAACCCATTTGAAATATTTCTTGAGAAGGAGCTTCTGAAGAACTTCTTATTCAAGGGGGTTATTACAAGAGCTTTCAAGGTAGCAGCTAACCAAACAACCGAGAATCCATCCAAAGAAGGCTCATATAGGTTTGAGAAATTTCTTTCCTTCATTTTTTTTGAATTCAATTGAGAAAACAAAAAATTGATACAGCATTTCCATGATGAAAATGAAAAAGCTCATTACTAATGAACTGATTTTACCGTCGTATTTCAACAATAAGAGTTATGACCAAATAATTTTGTATATCTTTTCAGATTTTTGGCCTACTTCGCCAGCAACATTGGTATGAACCAAGATGCAAAACATACACAAAATTGTTGATGATGCTGGGTAAGTGCAGGCAACCTGAGCAAGCAAGCTTGCTGTTTCAGATTATGTTGTCTGAGGGGTTGAAACCTTCTATTGATGTTTACACTGCTCTTGTTAGTGCTTATGGTCGAAGTGGCCTCCTTCACGAGGCCATTGAAACAGTTGATGAAATGAAATCCATTTCTGACTGCAAGCCAGATGTACATACATATTCAATTCTCATTGATTGTTGCACAAGATTCCGTCGTCTTGACCTTCTGAAGGACATACTTGCTGACATGTCTTATCTCGGGATTACATGTAATACGGTCACTTACAATACTATCATTAATGGATTTGGAAAGGCTAAAATGTTTGAGCAAATGGAAAGCTTGTTATTGGAAATGATTGAAAGTGGTAGCTGCCTTCCAGATTTGATTACATTCAATTCTTTTATCAGAGCTTATGGAAATAGTGAGCAGATTGAGAAGATGGAGAAGTGGTATAATGAATTTCAGCTGATGGGAATTGAGCCAGATGATTGGACATACAATACTATGATCAGCTCGTACGGGAAAGCTAGAATGTATGACAAGATGGTGTCGGTTTTGAATTTCATGGAAAAACGCTTTTTCTCTCCAACAATTGTTACTATGAATACAATCATTGATGTGTTTGGAAGAGCTGGAAATGTTAAGAGGATGGAAGAATACTTCAGAAAAATGAAACATCAGGGAATGAAGCCTAACTCTGTAACTTACTGTTCTCTTGTTAATGCATATGGTAAAGCTGGTAATATTGAGAAAGTTGATTCAATTTTGAGGCAAATTGAAAATTCTGATGTGGTACTGGATACCCCTCTTTTTAACTGCCTTATCAATGTGTATGGCCAGGCTGGTGATGTGAGAAAGATGGGAGAGTTATTCTTGGAAATGAAAGAGAATAGATGTGTTCCTGATAGCATTACATTTGCTACAATGGTTCATGCCTTAAAGACTCATGGCATGACTGAGGCTGCTCAAAGATTGGAAAATAAGTTGATTGTCGGTAGAGACAACAAGATAAATTAGTGCTTATTTATGATTTTTGGAAACGCCACGTTCAACATAGCTCAACGGTTACTACTAATTTCAAGAGGTTTTAGGTTTGAATCTTCCTACTCCACATGTGATGTAGATTCAAAAGATTAGGTTGGCATGTCACTCAGTTCTCCTGCCACATGTGATGTAGATTCAAAAGATTAGGTTGGCATGTCACTCAGTTCTCCTGTCGTATATATGCTTCTTTGGAAACGCCACGTTCTGCCTACACAAGAAAATCTCTTGCTTTTTTAGTGCCTTTTCCTTCCAGCTGATTTTATGTTGTTCTCATGTACCAAAACTTTTTGATCCTCTTGCATCCCTTTTATATCCTATTGGTTTGATGCAAAGAGGTGGGCCTTAATAGAATCTGGCTCGACAAGAAAACTGTAACATCCCAAGCTTACCGCTTGCAAATATTGTCTTCTTTGGGCTTTTTCTTTTGGGCTTCTTCCCAAGATTTTTAAAACACGTCTCCTAGGGAGATATTTCCGCATCGGTTGGAGAGGAGAACGAAGCATAAGGGTGCAGAAACCTCTCTCTAGCAGATGCGTTTTAAAAACCTTGAGGGGAAGCCTAATAGGGAAAGCCCAAAAAGAACAATATTTGCTAGCGGTGAGCTTGGGATGTTACAAAAACAGTGCCTAACACTTCCCTAGTGCGGAAGATCCACACTTCTGCCACCCGGGGCATGGTTACGTTTTTTCAATGGATCTCTACCTTCATTAGAGCAGGCCATGCTTCTCAAGTCTTCAGGTAGACTTTATTAATTTATCACACTACGAATTCAAACTGAAGATTTCCTTACTTGTTTCTTTTGTTATTGCTTGCTTCTTTTACGGAAAATGATTTGTTCTATTGGATGACACTTTTTATAACTCCAAAGTTTTGTGCTTATTCAGGCTCAAGGTAGATTGCATATCGTTCAAAAGTTGTGTCTCGTGACGTGGCATTGAGTATCTTTCACTACAAGGAGAGTTTCTTGATGGTCTCGAGTCTAAATGATCGTGTTGACGTGTAAGCGCACCCTTTTCCGTTCTCTATCTAATTGACTGCAAAGAACATCTCAAAATAGTGTAAATAGCATAATCCCAGCAGTCACCATTCATTCAAATTGCTTACATAAGAATGCAGAATGCTATTGGTTCAAGGATAGACTTAGGAATATACTTAGTTCAGTAGATTAGATGCCTTACTATTTCAAAAGCCGAGGGTTCAATTATCAACCGTGCAATGGTTGATTTTAAAAGTCGATCTCAGTAAGACCAACTCGACTCATAACCAAATCTAAATTCAACAAATTTTCAGTTCAATTTCCATTAGCAACATGGTATATACATCTACTTTTTCGTTTCCTCACGATTGCTAATTCCTGTATTATATTATTGTATTTGACAGGAAAACTGTGTTCTTGACCATTGACCCCACCCCCCACAAGCTTTATCTGAATATCGCAAATGATTTGGCGCTCGAGGAGGAGCTCTACCTCCCTAGCATATGGCTTGCAATTTCTAGAATTGGACTACAGCTCAACTCTAGATGCTCCTATACTGTTCTACCGTGGCCCATCACCCTATGCATAATCCTCTGGTATCTTTAACTCTATGACTGTTACTTTATACCGTGCCCCATTACCCTATTGCATAATCTTCTGGTATTTTCGCTAACGATCCAAGTTGTGCCATTCTAAAACGTGTATGAACAACTTTTTTGTGAGAAGTATTCGCACTCTTTATTAACACCAATTAAGAAAGATTACAAGACACTCTGTACACTTGTGCTTTGATTGTATTTCTTGAGATGAAAACATTTGTAGGGTGGAGAGGTATTATAGCAGAGACTAGGCAATTTATTCCTAAAATACATAGACAATTGGCTCATACAATTATTGGGTTTGACCCTATTGAACTAGTGATGATATTTTAACATAGACACCCTTTTGACTACATTCATATCTTATAGCCACATATAGAAGATTTAGCGGTCTAGATTCTAAGGAAAATCTAGCATTTATTAGTCTTCTCCCAAATGAGAGAATCAAGAATAGACTAATGGCTCAGTGGAAGATAAGATTGATCCTTTCATTTGATTTTGAACCAGTCTCGATTTCCTTAAGCTACGAATAGTTTTGTTTTAGAGTTATCCACTTAATCCTACAACCGAAGAAGAAATTAGACCGTCAACATGAACATAACTATAACTTAACTCGTTAAAGCATTATACATCTATCCAAAAACTAAGATACTTGAAAAGCAGTGAGAAAACAAATAGGCTGCTAGTGGAGGGATGACAAATGTAAGCTCCTCCAAAGCCCAAACAGTGCCTTAAAAGAAGTTGGATAAAGCTAACCCATCGATCTGTTTTCAAAGCAAAAAGCAAAGAATTGGAAGGCATCATTGTTTGAAGGAATTTTGTGGGTTAAGAGACCAATGGCTTTTCAGCCCCCAATAATTTTGGATTTGGGTCAATGAATGCTGAGGACTTGTTTGGATTTAGACATAATATTATTCCTTTTTTCCTTTCTATTTTTTATAATATTTGTTTATATTGTGAGGATGGATTTGACAAAAACCCACAAAACCATATATTCTCATTCCTTTTTCTCGCATACCGACTCGGGTTTGAAAAAAAAAAATGGTCATTTTCAAACCTGTAAATCGATGTAGTGCTTGCCACGTAAACTCTAATGTATCATTTAGGTGGAAGAAATTTAGCGTAGCAGGAATTTTAGAAATTCGAAAGTGATTACATTTTTCAAGTTGAAGAAGAATATTTTCATGGTCCTATTGGGTTTTTTTTTTCTCGATTTCTTTCTGAATTAGGTCAAAAGAGGATTGATTGGGCTGGATTAGTGTGTGCCTTAGGCCGACCAAGGAACTTGTGCTTTTGCCCAAGGTTCCTGTTTGATTACCCGATTTCCTTCGTTTATTTCGTGTCATACTTTTTGCCTTATTTCGTCCTTGATTTTGCTAGTCCTTAAAGTTTTACTTTTATGGTTCAATTTCACCTTCAACAAAATGGTAAGTTTAGTCTCTAATTTTTAATTTTATGTCGAACAGTTCAAACATCGCAGCGGTTTCCATCTGTACATGAAATCTTTCCTGTTCGAATACTTTGTTAAACGAACTTTAAGATTTCAAATTCGATGAACATGTGAATGAACCGAATCTTTCTCCAATCTCGTTCAGCTTTTTCCAAATTGATGAGAACAAACACAAACACAAACACTTGTGTGTTTAAAAATCATGAAAATTTAGATTTCTTGGTAATGCATGATTGAGCATAGAATTGGATTCCTTTCAACTTCAAACGTTCACACAGATTTTCAAAAGGTTGATTTCATAGTTGCATTAAACTGGCCAATGGGAATGCGACAAATGTCAAAGAAACAGACTTCATGGGACCCACTTTTCCATTTATCAATTTAGATAGTTCTTTTTCCACATTTTTTTTTCTTTGGAAAATCATCAAATTGTTTCAAATTTAACGTCAACTTTGCCTTTCAAAGTTTTCATGATTCTTTCATAATGGCTATCATGATTGTATCATGATTGATCGAGTATACTTTGTTCATGCCGTTTATATTTGATCTAAAAAAAATTCTCTTAAAACTCGTAAAAGTTTCAATAGTACCCTTAAATTTTTAAAAATTTTCAAAAATACCTTTACCGTTAGTTTTGAATTGAAACCTTTTGTTTCAAAAATACCCTTAAAATTTCAGAGGTGTTTATAAAGGATGTTTCGTTCTCCTCCCCAACTAATGTGAGATATCACAATTCACTCCCTTTTAGGGTCTAGCGTAGAAAGACGGCCCACTTTTCGGTGAGGTTGTACCTATGAAACACCCTTAATTTTAATTAAAAAATATTTAAAATATTTGTACGGTTAATATATGAATGAAAACTGTTCATTTACATTTTATAGATCATATTTCTCTTGAATTTTAGGAGTACAAACAATAAAAATTTTTTAATAAAAATTTAAGGATATAAGAGTTGTTTTTTGAAGTTCATGGTATTTTTATATACTAACATTCAAAGTATTTTTTAAGTTCTTAAAAAAGTTTAAGAGTATCAATGAAACTTTTAAAAAATAATGACATTTTTTAAAATACATTTGACGGTTAAGTGTAGTTTTTAAACAAAGTATTAACAGTTTCTATCCAAAACTTACCGAAAAGATATTTTCGAATGTATATTTTTTTGGTGTTAAAACTTTGAAAATTCAAAAGTATTTTTTAGGCAAATTAAAAATAGTCTTATTAATTTAACCTAAAATATATTTTACTTTCAAATTTTTACTCAAATAAAATAATATAGATAGAATTGATGACCGAATAACATTTGATTCACTTATCTTTACACTGATATGATATAAACCGGTATAAATTTATTCTTGAGATCTCTACTTCAAGGAAATCGTGCTAAGGATAAAATTACGATTATACCTACTTTACTAGTCATAGGACTTATCCATATTTGATACCTTTAAAAGTTTTAAACATAGGAGGAGTCTATAGGGCTAATATTGGAAAGAAAAAAAAGTCAAAGAAAGGACACAAAAGTCAAAGTGCTCCACTAGCCTTGGAATTGGGTCCTAAAGGAGCCCTACGTTTAGAGGCATTTGGTAATAAAGAAACAAGCCCTCCATGTGATAAGAACAAAACTTTGGACCCTAAATTTAAGGACAATCAATGTGTCCCAATGTCATCCAATGAATCATTAAGGGTAGATCTTGCCATCTATACTTGATCACGAATGTGCCCAATTGTCGAAAGATAGTAAACCTTGTATCTACACTTATACACACGCCCGTGTGAAAGCCCATATTTGAAATATTATAAGGGTGTGGAAACTTCTCCTTAATAGACGCGTTTTAAAATCATGAGACTGACAGCGATACGTAATGGACCTAAGTGGACAATATCTGCTAATGGTGGGCTCGGGCGGTTACAAATGGTATTAGAGCCAGACACCAGGTGGTATGCCAATGAGAATGTTACGCCCACCAAAGGGTGGATTGTGAGATTCTACATGAGTTAGAGAGAGGAACGAAACATTTATTATAAGAGTGTGGAAACCATTCTCCAACAGACGCGCTTTTGAAACCGTGAGGCTGATGGCGATACGTAACGAACCAAAACAGACAATATCTACTAGCGATAGGCTTAGGCTATTACAATCGAATTGTACTTTTATCTCTCAAATCGATATAAAATCATGCGTTGTTTGAGCTATTTTAACATAAAAATGAAAGAAAAAATCGAACAAAGTTAGATATGCATATTTTTTTAACTAGGTTGGTTTAGATTTGTATTATCATTTTTAAAATGTCAAATATTTTTTACTAATTAAAAATTGTACGTTGGTTAAACTAAGGTCATATTGAATTATTTACGCTCATGATTTTGAACTTTGGGATTGAGTTGAGTCAGACTAAGACATGTTTTATATCCAACTCAATCATAAATTTTTTAATTTTAATAAAAGAATTTACTTTTAAATATCTAATTAAAATTTATATTTTAAAAAATTACCTTCTAAATAATTAAAAAATTATTTTTAAGAGCGAAATAAATACATTTAAAAGAATAAATGCAAAAAATTATTTGATTTTAATCTGAATTTTTTAAATTATTAATTTTTTTTTAATCCTCAAAACCCTAAAGTAAGTGGGGGCAATGCAAAATGGCGACTCATCAACATCCCATTAATGCTCTTATTTATACATTTCAAAATTTATTATTTTGCTATCTTTTTTAGGGTTTATTAAATTAAGCCTAAAATTTTATTTTAGAAAAATTTTCTATTATTTCCAAAATTGTTTTATTAACTACTCATTTTTTTAATAGAAAAATAACTTTATTTCTTTCCTTTTTTTTTAATTATTATTTTTTTTAATGAAAACCCATAGAAAAAAAAAATTTCCCAAAAAAAAAAAAAAAACAAAACAAAACTTTTTGTAGAAAAATTATCTAAATATGATTTTTTTTAATTTTTTTTTATTAAAAAAACATAATATTATGTTGAAAACTTTAGTCACCATACCAACAAAAAAAAAAAAGAAAATATTAACAATTATCCAAAGTGGTTGCTTTGAGGACATAAATATCCTTTATGAGGACATTACTTTTATTTCAAATGTTTATATATATATATTATATGTATGTATGTATTTGATAAGTTTTCTGTATGAAGTAAATGAAAGTTAATGATTGAGTGTGAATTTGAAATTTTGAAGGGTTTAAAAAATGTTTTTAAATGGATAAATATTTTTAAATACTTAAAATATAAAACTAAAATAATTTCCGAAAATATCAACATTTTTTTCATCTCTATGGTTAAGAGTGTTCACGTGACCCAATAATCTGATCAACTCATATTACCCAATCCAACCTATAAACACTGACCAAATCATAAAACAATTGGTTTTTTTTTTTTTTTTTTTTTTGGTTGGGTTGAATTGTTGGTTTGCCGAGTTAACATTTTTTTTGTGAGGTCGACTCAACCATCTCGAAAATAGGATTATAACTCAATTTAACGGAATCTAATTTTTAAGATTATTATGAAAATTAAGAATATTTGACATTGTCGTCGATGTGTTGTGAAGTATGAATGTTTGGTATTTGAATTTTATGAGATTTTAGTTATTAAAATCGTGTATTGTAGATAAATATGAATTTTTTAAATAATAATAATAATAATAAATAATCATGACCCAAACTAACCCTGTGAGCTTTATCCAAGTTGTTCGAGTCACCAATCT